TTATGACTGTAATTGGATACAAACAGGGCCTAAAATCTGTGATACGCTGCAGTAAAATGCTCTAACATCAGCCCTGCTCGTCGCGCTGACTTACAGCTCCTTTAATGGGCTCTGCCTTTAAAACCATGGTCCACTGCTCCCTTTTGATCAGCTCCAAACCCGGCGCTAACCATGTCATTAAAGCACCTACGTCAGGTTACACACGACTAAAACACCAAGCACAAATATATCTAAAGGTGCATTCTGTAACTTTTCTGGTGGAGGGTTCGTCAAATGCTTTTCTTCATGCAGTTTAAGGAGGTTTTGCTTTGGAATATTGTCTGGAATATTTCACATTAGGACCTTTCTATCTTTATACAGGCCAAGTTACAGGTCACCACACTCATGTCTGTTTTTTGCTATAAAACCACCTGGAATTGACTAAATGTAAAGTAGAGCTGTGTAATGTCACACTGTGGAACATTGCAGGCAGAGCAATGACATCTCCACAGAAACAAGCAGGTGACTGACCCCAACCAGAAAAAGTTACACAATGCACCTTTAAGATTTGACCAAAAAATTGTGACAGTTTTTTTTCTAGTTCTTTCATTTTTAATTAGTTTGTTTGTAATTTACTTCCTGGGTTACATACATACAGGAAATTCCACAACTGTCTCCTAGCAACCATAATGTAAACAATGACGATCTAAATTGCACAATAGTTCTGACTCACTATTAAAAATAAAAGGCACATTTTTTATTTAGTCAGTTGAAGGTTTAAACTGTGTGAAAAATGCCTCCCTTGTGTGTAAATAGTTCTGAATAGTTCGTGTTGGTGACAGAGGTAGAGATGTTCTCTCCTAGAACTCAACATCACCTTCTGTTTCTGTCTCCACCTTCACCTGTAGCTCGGGGTCAGCCGGGAGCTGGGGCCTTTAACACGTTTTACTGCTCTGCTGTCAGGATTGCAGTGTTTTGATTGTTTTTAGATGATTTGCAATTTGATTTAGAATATCAAACTAGAAATATTAATAATATAATATATAATATTATTATATAATATATAAAAGTATTTTGTGCACATTGTAATCACATTAAATAGCCTTAACATTCTGAGGAGAGTAGAATATGAACTGATAAATGTAAGAAGAAACTCATTCATTCATTCATTCATTCATGCATTTCAGAACATGTTTGTAGAGGAGATTTTGCCATAAAAAGACGGGGCAAAGACTTTCATCTTTGCTGAACACAAGAATTGCAGCCTTTGCCGTTTGATAAATACGCCAAACTAAATTGTGATTGTGGTTCAATTGTGAAATATTGTGTTAAATATAATTTTAAATATTATATTTATTTTCTAAACATGTTATATATAAATACAGATGCAATGCAAGTAGTTGAGAATGAGTTCATATCTGTTTTATTTTTTTCATACTGTTTTTGCCATAGCTCTTCATCTTGGTGATTTAACAAGTGATTTAACATTTAGGATTTGGTCATATATTTTCTACAACATAATAACAGAATATATACAAAACAAAACAACAACAACAAACAAACCAACAAACAAACAAAAAAAAAAAAAAAAGAAAAAAAAAGTTAATTTTTAGGAAGTTAGTTTATTTATGTATTTATTTATTTATTTATTTTTGGAATGTAGGAGCCAGCCAAAAAACATGAACTATTGTTAAACTTTCTTTGCTGTTCATATTTTGTGGATTAAATATAACTTTTTAAAAGAGTCTCTTTTCCAATAAAAACTATTTTGTGTAAGGTTTTCCAAAGAAGTGCTTGAGGTGACTTGAGTGAAACATCGTTATGATCAGAGTTTAGTGTTGTGTTCTGGTTTTGTCATATTTAAGAGGAGGCTTGGCTCCACACTTTGCTCAAGATTTAAGGTGTTCTTGACTTGTAAACAAATTCACATAGAGTCTAATCAGAGACACATGGGTCTGTGCTCCTTGTGCTCGGAGCCCTGACCAGAGCTGGGCAGGGGCAGAGGCAGGGGCAGGGGCAGAGGCAGGGGCAGAGGCAGGGGCAGGGGCAGAGGCAGGGGCAGAGGCAGGGGCAGGGACCAGGCCAACAGAGGCAGATTCAGACCTTCATTCATTCTCTTTCCAGGAAGTTTTGAATTCACAGTCACAGCTTTTTATCTTGCCTTTTAAAGGTGCAATGTGTAACTTTTAGGTTTGGGCTCCGTCATTTGCTTGTTTCCATGTTGTTGCTCTGCCTGGAATGTTCTGCTCTACTTTACATTTATTCAGTTACAGGTGGTTTATAGCTTGAGTGCAGTCGCCTCTCCACAGATCTGACCTGTAACTTGGTCTGGTTTGGTCTCCATGAAGATAAAGGTTTAATGCTATACTGTGAAACATTCCAGACAAAGCAATAACACTTCTGTGGAGAATATTTGACAGTGCTGCTGGATGTGGTGGGGAGGTTGAGACAAGAATCAATCTCTTTGAAGAGAAGAAGAAAAAAAGTCAAACTATGAAGGAATCTGCATATACACACTTGGTTTGGTCCTGGTTTAAGCACAGTTTTGATGTGGTCCAGTTCTAGTCCTGGTTTAGTTCAAGTTTAGTCCAGATTTTACCCCAGTTCAGTCTCCAGTTTGATGTGATGTGCGAGAGTGAGAACATAGAGGTACCTTCAGGGGTGTTCAGCAGGGGAGTCCAAGCTTACAGGTTTGGGGGTGGTTTTAGGGCAGAGTTTTCAGTGCAGGATCAGAGTAAGTTTACAGGGCAGTGGCAGGGTTGACAGGGGCAGGAGCAGAGTTAGTTGACAGGGGAAGGAGCAGAGTTAGTTGACAGGGCAGTGGCAGATTGAGTCGACAGGGGCAGTGGCGGGGTGCTCCTGACTCCACGTGTGACCTGGAGGTCGGCTCATTTCCTCCTGGCCGGAGCGTACCCTGTCATAAAGGCCTCTCCAAAGGGACAGCCCGCGGAGAGCGCACATACAAAGGGGGAGCTACTGCTGCCGCTGGCCAGGAAGTGCTTGTGCGTCCACTGGGACTGGACACAGAGACTGGACACAGAGAGGGTTTAGCAGCACTGTGAGGAGACCAGCTTCACCGGGTTCAGATGACATCACAACAGTCTGGAAATACAGATGGAAGGTGGAAAAATAATGTTGTTAAAATGCAGATTTTTTATGTTGTGCAGAGAGTTCCATGTGGATTGTTCACAGATAGAAATGATAAGGTTTATTTAATTTGTCTATTTATGATTCAGCACCTGACGGGCCCATCTGCAGATTTTAGGCTAGTCTTGGTCAGGACCTCAGCTGGAGGATTTGACCTGTTGTGCATGTTTTGGGTTGACGGGGGAATCCAGAGTGCCAGGGGGAAACCACTCCTCATAGAAAGGCCTGGACAGCCCGAGAGTCTGGAACTGGAACCTATCTCCTATCCACTCAGCCACTGTGCAGATAGGTTAAATGCTCTTTTCCATAATCTTTGCACATCTGACTTTTCTGTATTTTCTCGATGCGTGCACCTAGCGCCAACGGTGTGTGTCGCATTCAGTCTTACAGCAAAGGCTCCATCGAAAGGCTCCATCCAAAACGTGCAGATTTGACACGTGTGTAGGGTGGAATATGTTGCAGTGTGTAGGTCTGTAGGGCATGAAAACAGTGGTAGTGGGAAGCTGGTATTGAACCACAAACCTTTGGCGCCCCCAGATCCCCCTTCTCCTCCTCTCCTCTCCTCCCCCTCCCTCCCTCCCTCCCTCCTCCATCGGCTCTGGTCTTTAATATGGTGTCAGACAAGTCTTTACTGCTGCACTTTAGCTGCGCTCCGGGCCCAGGTTACAGGCTCTTGGGGAGTTTTTCAGCAGGGTTTGAGAGGCAGACTTTTGGGATGTTAATGTGATGGTGATATGAAAGAGGCTGTGCTCCCGGGGGACTGTTTATGACCCCATCAGGCTCCCGTACACAGGAGTTACTGCCGACCCCACGACCTGCCACATGAAACCATCTCTGTGCTCTCTGCTTCCTCTCACTCTGTGTGAACTATAGGGCACCACTGAAGCTCAGACATGTCAGCTACTAATCTGAAGCTGTACAACTTATACCCAGGGCTTAAGTATGTCATTGATGTTTCTTAATCTCTCATTACACAGAAATATATGCATGCATGTAATGCTTTACCTATTGGGTCATACTGTAGTCACGTGCTGCCAGTGAGACATAGATTTGACTTTTGTCTACAGAGAACACATTATTGCCGTGTATTAACAATTGACCATATAAAGAAGTGGAGAAGTGAGTGTGACGTCACCCACAGTGTTTGACTTTGGTCAAATGAAACTCATGAGGCAGTTAAAGGAGCAAATTTGGAGCTGAGTTCCACATAGGAATTTAATTACATACAAATAGTGAAATAAAAACCCCAGAATCATGTAGAGTTGGTTAATATGAACATTTTAAGACCAAAACAACACGGCTCTTTAGTGCGATTACAGAGAGGGAGGGACAATTCCTCAATATAAAGTCAGCCAGAGTCAGAGTCAATGGAGTCAGAAGTGCTTCCATGTTCACTTCCTATTTGGAACATGGCGACTTGCAGGTTATTGATGTCCATTTATATACAGTCTATGTTAGAAACTGGCTTAACTGCAGCAGGTGAAGACTGAACAGAAAAGGTCCCAGGATCAACCCCTGAGGCAACCCACCGACGAGGGCCATGTGATCTGATACAAAGTTACAATTTTTGAGAAAATACTCTATGTTTCCTAAATAGAAGATAATTAATCAAAGACAGACTCTCACTTTCTTCCTTCTATCATGATGCTCCTCCTTTGGCCACGCCCAACGCAACAGAAGAACTACCATCCTCCTCAGCCTCTCCATTACAAGAAGAACCATTTTCCCAGTTCAAAATATAATTCCAGTTTTGTATAGGTGACATTTGAATGTGCTGGGATTTATCTATTCATTAAACCCTCTTCTACATTTTACAGTTTTCAGTCTACAATATTGAAGTATTAGATTTTCAAACACTCTTGTTGTTTTTGCAGGTTTCAGATCCAGAGAGGGACCAGTGACCCCAACAGCTACAAGAGTCTGGGCGACTGTTTTAGGACCATCTTCAGAAATGAAGGGTGAGTGTCTATTTCTTTTCTTTATTTAATTTTCTGTGACAACTCCAATTGCATTTTTGCCTGTTCTGAGTAGAGGTGGAATGCTTAATTGCTCCAGTTAAATGTTTGTGGATGGGACAAGCCCTGTAAAGTATTTCTGTATCAATTATTAAAGATTTTTTAGAAAATTAAAATTCTAAATTAAAATCCACAAATATAGAAAAGTTGAACATGTAGCTTTCCAGCTACAACACTGTCCTTCAAATGGAAAATGGGACTTATCTATTTGTTCTACCTCCAATGGACACTCAAAGCACTTTACATCAAGGAACAAAAAACATCACAGGGCAGATCCTCCAGCTAAGACAGTCCTGACCAAGACTAGCTCAAGATCTGGAGATGGGTTCTCGGGTACTGCGCAACCACTGTTCTCGAGGAGAGAAAAGAATGGGTCAAATGCAGAGGACAAATTTCCCTTCAGAGGCAATAAAGTGTGAGGTTGGGGAAGGGAAATTTGACCCTTGCACCTCTCACCCTTTTACAAACACACATTCAAACACCATTGTAGACAGAATTTGACAGCAAGTTGGGTTACGTGTCTTGCCCAACAGTGTTCTCCAGGTTTACTAATGTTAGGATCAGCCTTCAAACCACCAATCTTTAAAAAGTAAAAAACATTCTACGAACTGAGCTTCTATTGCCCAATTTAGAGATGATTTTTAGAGATAATTTTGACTTTAGATTCTTGGGTGCTCCATTTGCCATGACAGATGCAGGCGCTGAACTCTTGTAGTACTTATTAAATAAACTTCAAAATAAATGTTTTTTATTACAATATGACATAAGTCTTGCATTATTCTTGTTTAAACATTGCACAAAGCATTTACCAGCCCTGATATTAGCTACTATACAAAACTACACACCAGCTCCCCTCTGCTTCACTTTCCCCTGCTCTTTCCCCTTTCCCTTAATAACTCCACCCCCTCACTCCTTAGCCCCGCCTTCTTGAAAGACTCCGCCCCTGCCCCCTAAGCCCCGCCTCCTGACAGCTCGATGAGACAGTGCAGGCACGCAGGGGTAAAGTGCGGTGTTTACTGCGCGTCGACAGCTTTACTACGGATATAAAGTGAATCAGCTGGAGGTACGAGTCTGCCACGGCCCAGACAGAGGAGCCAAAACGGGCTACTGTCATCCCGCAGTGCCCCCCCCTCCTCCACGGCTCTTCCAGGCTCTTCCAGGCCCTCCTCCCTCACTCCCTCACCCATTCTCCGGGTTAGAACCTGGCACCAGTGCAGTGAAACCCAATGCCCTGTGTCTGTCTGTATGTTTTGGGTGTGTCCATGTTCCAGTGAAGCTTTAACACAAAAGAGTTTAATGCCAAATTACACAGACTTTTTCTATCAGCCGTGAGGACAGTTCACAAACTCATTTACCATGTTTAATTACAACTTATTTTCTGCTTATATACACTACCAGACAAAACTTTGGACACACCCTCTCATTCAGTATTTTTTTTATATGTTTACTATTTTAAACATTTTATATACAAACAGAAGACAACAAATATATGAAGTAAGATACATGGTATTATTTGCTAAAGAAAAATTGTTAAATTAAAAAAAGAAAAGAAAAAATAATTATAACTCTATACTATGTAATGTAATTATGTATCTTTTTCATTTCTTTACTACATTTTTCCATATGTTTTGCTTCATATATTTGATGTTTTCTGTATGTATATAACATGTATATAGAAGTAAAAAAAACAAAACAAAAAAACAAAACAAAAAAAAACACAAAAACAACAAACAAAAAAACAACAACATTGAATTAAAGGGCGTCTCCCAGCTTTTGACTGCTAGTGTAAGTATCTTTGTATTTGAAGAGTTGTTTTATTGTGGTGATAGACAGTGTGGTCAAATCCATGTATTTTTAGGTGTACTGTGCACAGTCTTCCACCTGCTTATCTCTATGGAGATGAACCATTTTACACTGATATTATACAGATTACATTAGATTGCTTAAAAATGTCCAGGGTTTAAACGGCTTTGGAATTGAAGGACACGTAGATGGTTTTCTTATAATACTGGATTTTGGGAAGAAAAGGGAAAGTAGCGTTTATGATGAATGAATTTACATTTATGGATGTCTTGTCCTCTCCGGGTGGGTGGAGAGTCCCTGTCTCAAGTGGAGAACTTCAAGTATCTTGGGATCTTGTTCATGAGTGAAAGAAGGATGGAGCATGAGATTGACAGGCAGGTGCTGTATGGGACCGTTGTGGTGAAGAGGGAGCTGAGCCGAAAGGCAAAGTTCTTGATTTACCATCAATGTTCCTTCCCTCACCTCTGGTCATGAGCTCTGGGTAATGACCCAAAAAACAAGATCGTGGATACAAGCGGCCGAAATGAGTTTCCTTTGCAAGGTGGCTGGGCACTTCCTTAGAGATAGGGTGAGGAGCTTAGTCACACGGGAGGAGCTCGGAGTAGAGCCACTGCTCCTCCATGTAGAGAGGAGAGGAGGCCCCATTGAAGACCCAGGACACAGTGGGGGGACTATGTCTCTGGACTGGCCTGGGAACGACTCGGGGTCCTCCTGGAGGAGCTGGAGGAAGTGTCCGGGGTGAAGGAAGTCTGGGAGTCTCTGTTTAGACTGCTGCCCCATGACCCGACCCCGGACAAACAGAAGAAAATGGATGGTGCTTATGGATATGACATTTTGCTAAGATAATTAAGAGATTAATGATATAATGTTTACTTTTGTGTGATGCATTGAAAAAAAAAAAGGTAAAATGTCACATAAAGTTACGTACATATTTGACAAATTCCTTCCAAAAAACACAGAGTCTGGGCAGGGCCATAGACAAGAATTCCATTTTTTGTGAGCTTCATTTGACTGGAGATGAACGCAGTGGAAGACGTCACACTTCCTCAGTCCACTTCTTTATACAGGCTTTGGCTGAGAGTCTGGGTCAAATTATTTCAAATAAATAAAGCTTGAGATAAAAGGACTAAATGAAATGATTACATAATGTTTGGTTTAGTTGGACGTGAGTGTTACTTCTCCGTGTTCTTCTCTGTTGTGTCTCCTGTCTCTGTGCTCCATTATCAGCTCTGTGTGTTTACGCTGAGGCTGGGATCACTCTGCAGGACGGGGCCAGGCTCATTCATAACTGACACAAACTCTGCTCCTTCTGTCCAACAATTATTATTAAAAACAAACATGTGGACAGAAGCTTCCACTGGTCCTGCCCTGCTCAGAGGTGATGAGGGAGGAAACCACAGCTCACAAAACCTCTGCAAAAACCAAGATTTGATTCGACTTTCAAAAGGTTTCGACCCAATAGACCAATGTACTGTATATTCTAACCTTTTTTATCTGTTTGTTTCTATGGAGATGAAGATGTGGAATGTTCCACAGTGTGACATTAAACAGATCTACTTTACATTTATTCAATTACAGGTGGTTTTATAGCTCAAAAATACCTTAAAAAACAGGCGTTCTGACTGTGAGCGAGGTCGTGTCTCCACAGATCTGACCTGTAGCTTGATTTGGTTTGGTCTCCATGATGATAGAAAGGTGTAATTCCATACTGTGAAACATTCCAGAGAAAGCCACATCTACCTTTAAGTTTTTACCATGTTATAATGTTGTTCCTCATCAAAAACCTGCCTGTAGAGGTTTCACATGTTGTCCATGAATGTCTGAGTAATCTAGTGATCTCTCCCGGGCCCTATTCAAAGTCTTTTATGTTTAGCAGTACGAGCCTGTACAAGGCTCCGCCCACAAGCCTACATCACCCATGTTTCCACACAACAATTCTCCATAAATATACAAAATCTTAATTAAACAAGTCAATACATTGTTTTTGGCAAATGTAGAATTTCCAAAACACTAAAAGCTAACATGGTGATCTAAATGTGTTGTGTGTTATCAAATACCCCCTTTTTAAATGACCCCGCCTCAATATTCTTAAAATTTTTTGTTCTATTATATAGTGTGACTTTTCTGGTGTTGCTGTTAGGCCTGGAATGTTCTGCAGTGTGGCATAAACAAATTTAGCATTTCTAAAAATGTTTATCTTTTTTCATTGCAAAAATGGAATCATGTTGTGTGTGGGCTCTCTCACCACAGATCTGATCTGTAACTTGGTAACTTTATGGTGTCACCTACTTGTCTCCTTGGATTAATGCCATACTCTGGAACATTACAGACAAAGCTACAAGTCAAGACAAGCAGTTGGTAGACTGTATGGCACCTCCAGATAAATTATTGTAATTAGTTTAATTTAAGATCCTTTTTCAGAAATGGAAATTAAAAAAGTATTAATCAAAAATGCAACCAAAAATCCTTAAAAATATATATATATATTTTTTAGCAGTTTTTTGTTTTCCTGTTTTAATGGTTTTAGTCACTGACAAACTGGAGCTACGTTTTTCTAACTTCCAATGATTTGGTTTAAAAATATTGCAAGAAAATGTGCCATAATTTCCATATATTCCTTGAAATTCGCTGTTGGGATGGACAGATAAATTCCCTGTTGGAGATGCACAGATAAACACAGATGTGGAGCTTTTATTGTTGAACGGATTATACAAGGAAGACGATATCCAAATGAGGCAGGCTTCCAGGAAATGTGTGGTCCATGTATTCAAATTCAAACAGAGTCTTGATCCACGTTGGCTTTAGCTGAACTTTGAATCATTTAGTGAACGTGTGTGGGACGTGGATTCATTTGGATATTTGAGAAGAGAAATTTATTGTCTCGGTCTCCCATTACAACACATGTCATTTTTATCTGGTATAAAAGCAAGCCACCGTGCCACCGACTTATGCTTCATATCTCTGTAATTACTGTTCCTATCCACATGAAACCAAAACCGGCACGAAGTTCAAGAAGTTCTCTATAGTCTAAATAAACAAAATGGAAATTATTTGTTCACAACCGCTTCCTGAACTGGTGCCATAATTGGAACCCCAAAGACGTGATTGTCATCAGCTGAAAGGACTTTAAGATTATTTTG